CCTCAAAACTGGCTCAAGAATAAGATGAGTGGTAAGGAATTCTTCCTACAGGACTCCTACTGAAAACTGCATTCAGTTAAAAGCAGAGCATCTGGTAAATTCTAAACTCATTCTGTGACAATTTCACCTCCGAGATGATGGCAGATGTAATCGGGGACAAGTCATCAATGATTTCTGTCCAGTGATGCAGAATTGCTCACTGAATGCCAAGTCCTTGGAGAACAGGGGAGAATCAGAGAAAGTAAGGTCAATTGTTGGCATGTGCCCCCAGATTCAGAAGGGATGACTGCAAACAGTTACGGGAAAAAGAGTCATGATCCTGTGAACTGAGACACTAAACAGGAAAATGATTCAGGAGGGTTAGCAGACTGTCAGTAATAAAATCCCAGCTGCAAATTGACAAATGATCCCTTGGAGGCATTAAGAACATAGCTAAAGAGCCTGGGGAAGCTGCTCAGCAGGGGCTACAGGGAGCTCAGATTTCAGATCATCTCTGAGGATGTAGCCAAGGGCACCCAGCCAAGGGCAGATAGAAGGGAGGGGATGGCCTGAAGATGATGTTGGCAAATGAGAGTGCAGGAGCTAGGGAAGGCAGAACACACTAAGGCCAGCAGGCAGGAAATGCTTTGACCCAGCGCTTAGGGCAGAGTGGGGAATGTTCACAATGGCAGGAAGAATGAAATTCACCACGATGCATTCTGGCAGAGAGACCAGAGAACAAAACATCAGAGTGAAAGGAACAGGAGTCATTGAGGAACAACTAAGCCCAAGATGAGCTTCAAGGCATTTCATAAGGCCTCTCCCGGACCCTTGTTGACAAGGTGGCAGAATCCTTAAGTGGACTTGCAGCAGACTGGGATGCCTGAGCCCCCAGAATGCTGATGGCTGGATCCGGTCCTGACAGCAGGTTTGTGTGAGACTCAGTGAGGAGTCCCCCTCCAGGAGAGACAGAGTCTCTGCAGGAGGCACAGGTCACCAAAGAGAAACACACTACCCATATCTGCCCCCACAAAAGGGTGGAACACATAGAAGTGCTTGACTCTTACAGAGATTCTGACTACCCATTCACAGCTGTATCCCTAGAGCCTGGAATGGTGGCGCCTGGCACACAGCTATAAATATCTGCTAAATGATTAAATGCAAAAGGGATGAGAAGAGTAAAGAAAGCAGAAAGTGTGGGGGTCAGATTTAAGAATGAACAAGCCACAAAGTAGCATCCAGGCACATTCTGGGGGACAGCTGGCCAGGCAGGACTACCGCCTGCAGCCTGGTTCTCCAGTAACCTCCGGAGGGAAGCAGAGAGTCTTGGTGGGCATAGGCATGTGCTGGAGCCTAGCACAGAGCTGGCATCAGGCCCTCAGCCGCCTCTCTGGGGAAGCCCTCTCACCTTGTCCCAGATCTGCTCACTGGTCCCCAGAGTGCTCCCCACCAGAGGGTTGACCGCTGCATTGCACACCAGGAAGTCAATGGCCCCGCAGTGCTCCAGGGCCTGTGGGGAAAGGCTTGGGTGAGAATGGAGATGGCCTGAGGAGGCCTCTCCCTCCCAGAGCAGCGGAGGTTGTAAGGCCTTCAGGCAAAGCTTGCAGAGCAGATGCAGCCAGGAATTATTACAAGGCTCCGCAGAAAACCAAACTCTCCTGAAGGAAAGTGACCTAGGTGGCCCAAGGGCAGGCTCCTGGGGCCAGTCCCCAAGGGATGAAGGTCTCCTCCAGGAGTCCCTCTGGAGACCTCCCTCACCCCCTTCAGGCTTTCCCTCACCTTCTCCCAGGGCCTGGGGATAGGCTGAGCATCCTCTCACAAACAGGCCAATTTCCTGACAGACCTTCTGGGCAATGAGGTCTGTTGGGCAGCCTGGGCACAGTCATGGTCTCAGGACACATTCTAGACCCCCACCCCCTCCCAGGGCTGAGCAGCGAAGGAAAGGTTCTTCATGTTTCCCTCTCTGTGTCCTTCCACCGCCTTCCCCCTCACCTTGGTCACCAGCCGCTCCCGGTCCTCAGCCTTCTCCACATGGCACACGGTGCCTGTAACACTCAGCCCTTCCCTCTGCAGCTCATCCATAGCCCGATCCACATTCTGCTGCTCCCGGCTGCTGATGACCACATGGGTCCCATCCTGGGCCAGACGCCGGGCGATAGAGAAGCCTAGGGGCAGAGATAGAGAGCATGAGTCAGCATCAGCCCCTCCCCACCGTCCTTCCTCTACCCAGCCCTGGAAATCAGCAAAGAAGGCTAGATCTTGCTCTGCAACCCTGAGTCCTTGTGGAAGCCAGGAACCCTGTGAGGGGCCAGGACCCATGGGCTATCCAGCACTCACCCACTGGTGGACCCTGTGACCACAGCTACCTGGTTAGCCAGAATGCCCTTCCGGTCTACCCCAGTGCTGCACATCCTCACAGAATGCCTAGCACTGGGATAAAACAGGCCCCGGTAACCGCAGGTCACTCCTGGCAGTATGTTGGTTGGCGTCTGGGATGCTTCCTGCTGAATCAGGCCTGGGGGAAAGAATCAATTTCACTTATCACTGATACAGTCAGTGAGCATGAAGGTAATCTACCCTCCCCCTTCCTCCAGACAGACAAGGCCAGCAGGTATAGAGATTTATTATTTTTCAACAAGAAAAGACAAAACTCTCTCAAAGAATGTGAAGACTTGTTAATTAACAATATCATTTTTGTTAATGTTAATGATAGAGAAATGTAAATAAAATGAAATCTCAAAACAGCAGGCAGGATGGAAGAAATGCCTAGAACACTGGCGCCAATGGCTCTGGCCTCACACACACACTGAAGCCTGTTTACACAGCAGCACACCCGAACCTGCTGCCCAGCTGATTGCCGCATGTGCCCGCTCCTGCCAGTTCTCCACAAAACCCAGAACCATGACCACCATCCAGTACCCGAGGGCCACTTCTTTAGAGACAAGGAGGTTACTAGCTCAAGCAATGTAAATTTGGACTTGCAAATGCAGTTTTTGGAACTGATGTAAACAGTTACACACAACTGCACTTTGTTTGAGAGCCTGTGCTTTGCTTCCCGTTTTATGTTCCATAAGCCACGGATCAACTTAAAAATCTAAGTCTATCTACATTAAATGTTAAGTGTCTTACTCCTGACTATATCTAAACTATTAATACAACTTTGGCCTGAACACACTCTCATGCTCATACAACTATTTCTTCTACTGTACCCCGAGAGATCAAAAGAAACTGAATAACTGGAAGAGAAATGAAAATAGGATTTCAAACAAACACAGAAAATCTCAGTTCCCATTCATTTAAACAATCTCACTTGTTTAAATTACTGTGGATCCATCTTCTATCCATCTTATTAAAATCCTTAATCACAAATTTAACATACACACTTAAGGGCGAAAAACTAACCACTCACTCAAGAACTACCTGAGGCCAGGCACCATAGCTCACACCTGTAATACCAGCACTTTGGGAGGCCAAGGTGGGCAGATCCATTGAGGTCAGGAGTTTGAGACCAGTCTGGGCAACGTGGTGAAACGCTATCTCTAGAAAAATTAGCCAGGTGTGGTGGTGCACACCTGTAGTCGCAGCTACTCAGGAGACTAAGGTGGGATGATTACTTGAGCCCAGAAGGTCAAGGCTGCAGTGAGCTGAGATTGTGCCACTGTACTCCAGGGAAACAGAGCAAGACCCTGTCTCAAAAAACAAACAAAAAGAACGATCTGAGACTGGGTAATTTATAAAGAAAAGAGGTTTAACTGACTCACAATTCCACGGGCTATACAAGAAGCATGGCTGGGAAAGCCTCAGGAAACACAATTGCAGCAGTAGGTGAAGGGGAAGCAGGCATATCTAACATAGCTGGAGCAGGTGAAAAAGAGAGCAAAGTGGGAGGTATTACACACTTTTAAACAACCAGATCTCGTGAGAACTCACTGTCACGAGAACAACAAGGGGGACATCTGCCCCCATGATCCAATCACCTTACACTAGGTCCCTCCTCCAACATTGGGGATTACAATTCAACATGAGATTTGGGCAGGGACACAGACCCAAATCATGTCAAAGTCTATATGCCTATTAACGGTGGAGTGGATAAACAGATTGTGCTGCGTTTCTATAATGAAATACTATACAATAATGAAAATGAATGACCTGAAGCTACACTGAGCAATATAAAGGAATCTAAAAAAATATATTGTTGAGTGAAAGAATTCAAACACAAAAGAATGCATACTATGTGAGTCCACAAGTTTCAACAACAGGTAAAACTTGTGGACTCACATAGTGTGCATTCTTTTGTGTCTGACCATGTTGCTTAAGAGGCAAACAGGTGACAGAATATGTTGCTTAATTCTATGTTGCTTAAGAAGGCAAACAGGTGACAAAAATACAGAGAAATGCAGGGCAGTGATGACCACAAAAGTCAGGAGAGTGGGTATTCCTGGGGTAAAGCTGTGGGAGGCAGTTACAATTAAGAAGGGGCAAACAGGTTAGGCGCGGTGGCTCATGACTCTAATCCCAGCACTTTGGAGGCCGAGGCAGGTGGATCACTTGAGGTCAGGTGTTGGAGACCAGCCTAGCCAACATAGTAAAATCTCATCTCTACTAAAAATATAAAAATTAGCTAGGCATGGTGGCACGTGCCTATAGTCCAAGCTACTTGGGAGGCTGAGGAAGGAGAATTGCTTGAACCCAGGAGTTGGAGGTTGCAGTGAGCCAAGATGGCACCACTGCACTGCATCCAGGGTGACAGAAAAAAGAAGATGGGACAGGTGACGCTCCAACACCTCGACTTCTGGGCCAGCCTCCATGGTCAGGTCCCAGGACTGCTGGACTGGGACATGGGGAATGAGCTCTTTCTGGCCTTCGCCACATCTCACCTCTCCTTAGCCGAGCAGAAACTTGCCAGGTATAAACTCCGAATTGTTAAGCCACCAAAATTACCCCTAGAGAAAAAACCCAACCCTGATAAGGATGGTCCAGATTATGAGCCCAACCTGTGAATGTGGGTAAACCCCAACATCATGTATCCCCCTGGAAAGCTGAACGTCCCAGGACTTACAAAGAGGGAAGTTCTGACAAGCACACTCCCCTCCTCTCAGCCATTCCAGAAGGAGGAAGATGCCAGCTGCTCAGGCCCCACAGGGATGGAATCGCTGTCCCAGTCCTCCAGCGAGCGGTCATCCCCTCGGAAGCAGTTTGCCTTTTCCCCCAGCACCTGGGAGATGTGATGCCCTTCCTCTTTGAACTTTATCCCCAAGAAGCGAGTGCCAGCTAATGCTTTATTAAATTTACCCTCAGCATCAATAAATAAATAAATAAAAGAAGGGGCAAACTAAAGAGCTTCTAGGGTGCTGGCAATGTTGTATTTTATGAGTGTAAATACATATATCTCATAAAGTGATGCTTACATGGTGTCCATGAGATATATCACCTATGTATTTGTATACTTTTTATGGATGTGTTATATTTCACACAATTTAAAAGTTTAAAAGTAAAGATTACCTGCTCATGGTAAATTTTAAAACTCAAGCAGTTTAAAACTAGTCCAAAAATTAAACCCTCCAGTTCGCTTTTCAGGAGCAAATTTGCCAGCATCTCAGATACTTTCTCAGAGATGTTTTATGCAAAGGGCTTTGCCTTAAATAAGCAAAAGCTTTCTGGTTTTAAACATTCAATTCACAAAGGGCTTCCATGGAGTATCCTAGCCAGGAAGCAGAGGATCAGGAATGAGTGTTACGTGAGTTCCTTGAACGCAGGCTCTACTCCTCCCTCGGGGGCCCAGGGCCTGAAACACAGGAGTGCTCAATAAGACTGGTGAGCTAATCAGGCTGGGAAAGTTGCAGGTAAATAGGACCTGGAAGACTGAGAGGATTTTGAAAGGGGCAGCAACAGGATAGATGCTCCTGTCAGGGGGGAACAGACTGAGAGGAGGAATGGAGGGTGTGCATGCCCAGAGTGTTTGGGATAGAGCAGGGATTCCTATGTGCCTGGAGTCAGAGAATGGGGGGCTCATGCCTCAGAGAGCAGACTGCAGTTCTGAATGACTCCACCAGGCTGGTGCTGATTGAAGCTCTCTGAAGGGAGGTCTATTGAGCTGGGGCCGGTTAAAGCAGCCACATCCAGGCTGCTGTGTGGAGACCTGTGCCCTCTGGAGACCCGTGCCCTCTGGAGACCCGTGCCCTCTGGAGGCCCTTCAGAAGAGAAGGGTGTGCCTCTGTAGCTATGTGAAGATGTGAAGACAGGGAGCGGATCTGGTGTGGGAGACTCAGGTATGAAAATATTTCACCATGAACTGGAAAATGCCAGGGATGCTTGTCTAGGGGGCCCTCTTTCACTCAAATCCGAATTTCCCAGCTCCACATTCATGTTAGCCCAGAGGCTCCTGCGTCGCCCCATGTGGGATTCCCATTGGCCTGCCCTCCCCTACTGTAATGGAAGAACCTGATCAGTGTCCTGCTGAGAGAGGGAGGGAGGGAGAGGTTCCAGCAAGGAGTTAGCAGGCCATTCAGGGGCTTGGGGGTATGCCTTTCTTGTGGGACGGGACAGTGCCAGGAAGGTGAAGAGAGGCAGGCTCTGGCAGCTCTGGGCCAAAGAGCCAACAGGTGTGAACTTTCAGGAGGCTCTGGCATGAGATGGCTCTGTCTACAGACCCTCGTCAGTTCCAGACCTGCTCTGGCCACTCCATCACCAAGGGACTCCTGGTGACTAAGCAACCCCTGCCTTACCTACTGCATCTCCCCTTGTTCCTTAGCAACCCTTGCATAACTCAATTCCCTCGAGTTAGGGGTCTATATCTATAAATTATAAGTGAATGGGTGCTGCTCAAGAATTGTGGAGAAATTTTTTATCAACTATCAGTCTGTACTCAGTGTCAAAATGCAGGTGACCAAATGCTCTGCTTTGGAAAGGAAGCCTTGATTTCCAGTTTGTCTATTCTGATATTGTATTTCCAAAAACAGTCTTCGTCAGTCCTAGACGTCCTCCCTCTTTCCTCCCAGCTGTTTCCACTCTGCCTGCTGTTGCTCTCGCTTACTCTCTCACACACCCTCTCTCCTTCCTGCAAGGTCATATTTACAGCCTTGGATTTTGTGGGGACAACAGGTTTCAGCTCCTGATTGGTCTACCTTTTCCAAACAGGACACTAGATTCTGAACATTGTTATGCCCCCTGGGGAACTCCTCTCCCTCCCCTGCGAGCATAGATTAACCCTCTTTTGAGGTTAAGGGGAATCCAGTCTCCTCGGCTGGGAGGACAGCAGGAAAATGAGGACTCGCCTTTTCTCGGGACAGGACGCCCCCTGCTGGAAGACTGGAGTAACAGCACCTCTGAGAAGTGTTTCTATCGCAGCAAGTTTGGCTGTCCCCTTTCTGGCCTATAAATTCTCACTAAGCCCTGCTTGGCTGAACTTGCCCCAACGTGGTTTGCAGGAAAGCTGACCTATGTAACGAAAGGCAGCTCCATCTGAGAGGATGCAGGTTTACCTGTTGCAGGTAAACCACCTGCAGAGATGAAGTAAGGACTCCTCTATCTCCCCTGCTTCCCCTACCCATGCAAAGCCCCTCTTTTGGCTGGGGGAATGGGAAGAGTGAGCAGCTTCCAAGGCCTCTAGTTCACCCTTTCCCACTCACTCATGCTTTCTCCCAGTCAGCTGGGCCGGCTGGAGCAGAGTTGACCACAGGTCCTGGGAGCTTAGAGTAGCCCCTGAGCCTGGCACTGCCCACTCTGATACCCCTTTCCAGCAGATCAATTCAGATGCCCAAATTTGGGGCTGGAGAAGCTGAATGGACACACCCTTAACCCAGTCCCATCTTGGATGTGGATGGCCTTCAGCACTGGTCCAAAGAGAAGGGGAAAGGAAAGGAGTGGGGAAGAAAACAAAAATTAGAAGAGAGAGAATGAGAGACGTAGAAGAGTTAGAAAGATTGAAAATCAGAAAAGAGAGACTCGTGTAAACTGGAAATAGAATTCTAAGTTCCCCAACTCACTGAATGCACTTCCTCTTGGCAAAGGGCATTCCAAAGTCAACCTAATACCAATTTTTTTTTCCCCCAGGCTGGAGTGCAGTGGCACAATCTCAGCTCACTGCAATCTCCACCTCCTGTGTTCAAGTGATTCTCCTGCCTCTGCTTCCTGAGTAGCTGGGATTACAAGTGCATGCCACCTCATCCAGCTAATTTTTGTATTTCTAGTAAAGACAAGGTTTTGCCATGTTGGCCAGGCTGGTCTTGAACTCCTGACCTTGTGATCTCATGATCTGCCCACCTCGGCCTCCCAAAGTGCTGGGATTGCAGGCGTGAGCCATCATGCCCAGCCTAAGATACCAAATTCTAACCTGACTCTAGTATAGCACCACATGACAGATAGCAGGTCCTGAGAGAAATTGAAGTATTTTACACCAAAATGCATTTCTTTGACATTTTTTGAAATGGCCCTGCAAAGCTATCTCTTGTGAGGAAAATTTACATCCTATAGAAAATCCCTTTCCCTTTCCAGGTCTTTTCCTGATCCAAGAGAGATTTAACTAAGAGTCTGGCACCTTTTAGGGTATGATAAAAGACATTTACAGTCTATTCTCTATGAAGCCTGCTACCTGGAGGCTTGATCTAAATAACATGAACCTTGGCTTCCACAACCCCCCTAATCTTAACTACAAACATTTCTTTCTATTGACCTCAACTCTTTAGGAAGAGCTTAACCCTTTCAACCAATTGCCAATCCGAAAAATCTCTAAATCCACCTGTGACTTGGAAGCCCCCACTTCAAGATGTCCAGGCTTTCTGGGCCAAAACAGTGTAATCCTTACATGTATTGATTTATGTCTCTGCCTGTAGCATCTGTTCTCCTAAAATGTATAAAATCAAGCTGTAACCCAACCACCTTAAGCATATATTCTCAGGACCCCCTGGACCTATGTGATGGGTCATGGTTCTCACATTTGGTTCAGAATAAATCTCTTCGAATACTTTACAGCTTGACTCTTTTTCATCAGCACTAAGGAGATGTTAACAGAAGATGTGTGATCTTGAGAGCAAGTCTGTTCCCCTCCCTCGCCTCCATCTGTATCGCAGTAAAATAAGGGGTTCACTTGGGTGGTCCTAAGGGCTCTGATGGCCCCATGAGCTTTGTAATGATAATCAAAGAAGAAATAGACTGAGCTGCAGACATACAGCCAGGAAGAAAGAAGCATCAACATAAAAAGTAAACAGTAGTGAAGATAGGCAGTTCGAGTCATTATAGACCCCAACACGAGGCAGGGAGGCAGCTCCAGCCTGAGCCACATCCTGCCTGCCCTGGGCAGTGATGATGCTGGCCCAGGCTTACCTGATTGTGTACTTGTCTGTTTGGAGCGCTGGTCAGGAGCCCTCTGTCAGGCAGTCTGCAGCTGAGTGTGAGGATGTGAGTGAGCAGCAGGCTGGATTTAAGGCTCTGCAGATTTTATCTTAACAACTCAAAGATTCCTAGAATTTATGGCCCCAGAATTCAGAAAGATGGGAGAAGTGTTTCAGAAAAGACCTCACCCATGGCTGGGGAGGAAACCTGGTGAAAGTGCAGGACCTGTTGTCTGAGTAATATTCTACAGAATGCTGCACATACCACTTAACAAGCATAACCGGCAAAAAAGTGCAGCTGCTTGCCACTTGTGGAAAGAAGTCAAAATGATAATAGTTATGATAGGAGGGAACAAGATTTCTTTATTATTCATGCTAGCAGGGGAAGAGTGGAAAGCAATTCCACTCTTCAATTTGTGGAGGGAACATAGGGGTTTTCAAAGAAAGGGTTTGGAATGCAGAATATGACTAATTACACAGTATTGATAATATAATTATTAAATTATTTAAATCATTATAACTAGGGTCAAACACATTTTTAGTAATCAAAATAGGAACCATTACAATCAACACATTTTTGCAAATGAGAAATAAGTTTGTTTATTCCTGTAGCATAAAAATTCATGCTTTGGGATTCAGTGAACTCTTGGAAAGCATTTTCTGCATCCTGCTGGTTGTGGAAGTGTTTTTCCTGCAAAAAGTTGTCGAGATGCTTGAAAAAGTGGTAGTCAGTTGACAAGAGATCAGGTGAATATGACAGATGAGACAAAACCTCAAAGCCCAATTCGTTCAACTTTTGAAGTGTTGGTTGTGCAACGTGTGATTGGCTGTTGTCATGGAGAATTGGGCCCTTTTGGTTGACCAATGCCTGCTGCAGGCGTTGCAGTTTTCAGTG